AGTGGGGGTGTCAGGGGTGGCAGTGTGTGTGACAGTGTTTGGGGTCAGTGGTTGGGGTGGCAGTGATCAGTCTGGGTGATGGGTAGGAAGGGTGGGGGGCAGCAACTGGGGCTGAACTGGGAGGAAACGGGAGAGAGGCCTGAGAGGGCTGGGTTTGGATGCTCTCAGAGCTGGACTGGTGAAAATGTTTTTAGGAACATCCCTGCCACCTTCCCAGCACTGCAGGACCCCAGTGCTGGATGTCAGATGGGCCCTGCTGGGTCCTTGGGCCGCTCCTGCTCCCCTCCATGTGTGTGGCACTGGCCGGGCAGCCCCTGGGTGACATGAGGGGGGCCTGAACCTCCATCTGTGTGCAGGAGGTGGGCTGGAGCAGATCCCTGGGGAATGCTTTCCCTGCAGCTCCTCCCTGTGTTTGCAGATCCCAGCTGAGGAGTCGGAGGATGAGGCGGTGGCCGGAGAGGAGCGGCTGAGCGAGCAGGACCCGGCAGGAGGGAGCCCCCAGGGCAGCAGGGACAGGAGCCAGGACGGGGCTGTGACACCTTCAGAGACACACGGGGATGGAGAGAGAGAGGGCCAGGAGGCTGAGCAGCCGGACAGAACGGTAACTGCTGCCAGGGACTCACCCCTGGGGAGGGTGGGCACGCTGGTGCTGGGGGCTGGGTTTGCGTGGGGACCCAGAGGGGTTCTCCAGCTGCAGAGAGGGAGGAGGCACCCAGGAAGGTTGTGCTGTGTCCACGTTGTGCTGTGTCCATGTGAGCACTGAGGTCAGCCAGGGAGGAGTGGTCTCAGGAGGCATTTGTTTTGGAGCAGGGGATGTGAGGAATTCAGGCAGTGTCAGGTGAATACTGAATCTCTTCTTGCCCGTAGTGATTTGTTGTCATTGGATGTCAAGATTCCTCCTGTGGTCTGTATCAGCCCAGAAGTGTCTCCTTGCAGGATTCTGTAAGGAAAGGGGCATTTATTTAACAATTTCCCTTGGCAAGGCCTGCCCAGATCTCACCAGCAAAGGGGGTTGGCCCCTGGTCTCACTTGTTTGCTGTGCATTTGGGGTTTGTGTCCCTGGTTTGGGTGGCAGGGGAGCAAAGTCCACCCTCTGTGTGCATTCCAGCTATGCCTCTGCCAGCCCAGGGGCTGTGGTGCTCTGGGCAGTGTGTCCCTGTGTGAGCAGTGGCTCCAGGGGTCCTGACCTGGTGAGTTGGCTGTGCCAGCACTGCAGGACACACCTGTGGCTGCTCCCAGAGCTCCAGGTAGGACATGGCAGCCCTGGGCAGGCAGCTGCTGCTCCTGGCTAGAGCCAGGACAGGGCTGGGAGCAGCCTCATCTAGTGGAAGGTGTCCCTGCTTAGACAGGGAATAAAAACTGGATAAACTTTGAGGTCACTTCCACCCCAAACCATTCCATGATGCTGTGGTCCCTTGCTGAGTTACCTGCTAGACCCTGGAAATGTGCTTGACAGCTTGTGCCAGGCAGGTTAGGGAGTGCCCCCAGCACCCTGAGCTGGAGCAGCTGCATCTGTGAGGAGAGGAACTCTGGCACTGGGACCTTTGTCAGGTGTTGGTTTCTGTGGAAGTGGGAGTGAAATTGGGAACTGTCCTGCACCCTGGAAAAGTAGAAATGCAGCTCATCCTGGGCACTGAGAGAGGCTGAAGCATTTCCTCCACACCTGGCACAGCTAAAACTGTTTCTCTCCTGATTTCATAGCCTCAAATATTGATGTGAAAGTCAGCTGAGGTTTAACCCTTTGTGAATCTTTGGTGCTTTCCTCCATTTTCTCCACGTGTCTTGATTTCCACCTGCTAACAAACACTAAAGGGTGAATTTTGGTTTCATTTAAGGACCCTCAGTGTGCTGATCCCTGTGGGAAATGCTCTTCTTCCAATGGAGCTGGCACCCCTGGGAATGCTGACAGCTCTTCCCTTTGTCTTTGCAGCTGGCAACGAGTAACAAGCCACGGAAGAAAAAAAAGAAAAGGAAAACCAAGAAAAATTCAGCAGGAGAGACTGTGGTATGTCTGTGTGTGTGCTCTGAGTCAGGGGCCAGGCTGGTTCCTCCAGTGGGGCTGGCACAGTGGGAATTCTGAGGGGACTGTAGGAGAGAGTCAAGGCAAAAAAAGCAATTTCAAAATTTAAAGTTAAAGAAGCCTCTTTAGGGTCATGGAATCCTGGAATGCTTTAGATTGGAAGGGACCTTAAATTTCTTATCATTCCATCCCCTGCCATGGGTAGGGAGACCAGTGTTGGGAACCCCAACAGATGGATTAAAGTCTCCTTCATTTAGTAGGAGTGAGGGTCAGGTGGGAGCTGGTTTCCTGCTGAGGTTTGGGTCTGAACTGTGCACAGAATTACAGAATCCTTAAGGTTGGAAAAGAGCTCCCAGATGGTGGAGTCCAACCTCCCTGTTCACTCCAGGGAGAGTCTTTGGTCAGCATCCTGAGCCACCAGATTCTGGAGTGAAGGGCTAAGCCATGACAGCAGAGATGCTGATCCCTCCTCCCTGGGAATGCCACTCAGGGTGAGTTTCTGAGGTGGAGAACCCTCTTGGAGAGCTGTTTCCTTTCCCAATCCAGCAATACTGAGCAGCAGGGGATATGTGCCAGCTGGAGGCTGGGGGGACACCCAGACCAGTGAGGGATAATAAATACAGCCTCTGTTCAGCACTTCCATGCAGGGCACATTATCCCTTTCCTGTGTACACTCCACACACAGGGGCTAAATTTAGCTTGAAAAGGCAGCCTGGCAGTGCTGCTTGGGTGTCCTGAATGGAATTCTGTGTTCCACCCATGGGTCATCATGAGGAGGATGTGAAACAGGCACGTAAGAAATGTGTCACTTGTTGTTTGTTGGGGGAAAATGGAGAGAAATCAGGGTTCAAGTGTTGTATAACTGTTGGATGTGAGCAGCTGGATGGATTCCTGGGGTGGTTGGGAAATGGGGAATGGGAGACTTGGATTAAAGTCATGTGGGTGTTTGAGACCTTGTCATGAGGCTCTCAGCAGTAACTTGGTGTTTCCATGGACAGTAGAGGGTGAAGGCTGGTTATTTAAATGTTTAAATGTCTTTGGACAAGGGCCTGGAGTGCCAGAACAAGGGGAAATGTCTTCCCACTATCAGAGGGCAGGGTTAGATGGGATACTGGAGGGAAATCCTTCCCTATGAGGAGAGTGATGATGCCCTGGCACAGGTGCCCAGAGCAGCTGGGGCTGCCCATGGATCCCTGGCAGTGCCCAAGGCCAGGCTGGACAGGGCTTGGAGCAGCCTGGGACAGGGAAGGTGTCCCTGCCATGGGATATGAAATGAAATGAGCTTTAGGGTCCCTTCCAACCTAAACCACTCTGGGTTCTCTGAGGAGCCACAGCCCCTGAGCCAGGGAGGCAGCTGGGTGTGATGTGTGCTGGGTGACCTGCAGGCTGCTGTGACTCAGCCTGTGACAGAGGCCTTGGCTTTGCCTTTCTGAAGGAGGACAACGACCTGGAGGACATCGAGAGCCTTCTGGAGAGGATCGAGGACCCCCGGCTGGCCCCGCAGAGCCAGGGCGGGGTCAGCACCGACAGCCGGCCCCTGCTCTACGTGGAGCACAGGTACTGCTGCCTCCCT